CTAATTGACAGGAGAGACAGAGGGAGAGAGAGAGTGGTGTGTGTGTGTGTGTGTGTGTGTGTGTGTGTGTGTGTGTAGGCATGCATCCATCTTTTTCTTGCATACTTGAGCCATAGGGAAATAGAGCCATATATATTCTCTTCAACCAAATTAACAGTTGTAGACAGTGGTCTTGCTATTGCTTTGACCATTTATGGTATTTTCAAGAGCTCAGTGTTACCCCCAGATCTTCAGTATCACACCTTGGCTGGTCAGTTGTAGCTACATTTTCCTTCCACCTTGTGCCCTGAAGAAATTTAGAAAGTCACCAGCTGACACACAAGTTTATTGTAAAAGTTCACTAGTACCATAGTATTTGGACCTTGGAAAATATTTCACCACCAGAACAGTGAAATCGTGGTTGTCTTCTAAGCTCATCCACAAAAATACAGTTTGACTGTCATGCATTTGAGATACCGTGCACTTAATCATGAAATATTACTGAGAGGAACACTCTTGCCCAACAGTGGTGCAAAGCAGAAAAATAGGGCATTTAGCTAGGAGAAAATGACTCGAGATGTCAGCGATAAGATGGAAAGAATGTGGGTATGTGGCAGGTCTTTTACAACTCCAACAGACTGCTCTAGAAAACAGTCACTACATACCAAAATTAGCCAGTCACGATGGCATGCACCTGTAATCCCAGCTACTCGGGAGGCTGAGGCAGGAGAATCACTTGAACCCGGAGACGGAGGTTGCAGTGAGCCAAAATTGTGCTATTGCACTCCAAGCCTGGGCGACAGAGCAAGACTCTGTCTCAAACAACAACAACAACAAAAAACCGCTCCATCACAATACTTCTCCCTCCTCATGTACTCTCCCTGCTTCGCTTTATGCCTCAAGACCACACATTTTGAACTTGCTGAGCTGTAGGAAGTGAATGGAGAGGTGGGCCACAGGTGCACAGCCTTTAGTAACTGAGGAAAAAGAAAAAAAAAATTTCTAACCCTGGCTTCCTGAGCTCCCTTCAGCAACCCAGCTGCTAAGGGGCAGGAATCCAGCAGCAAGGTGGAGAGAGGAAGGCATTCCTACAACCTGTATTTGTGGGTCCTCCACACTCCAGCGTCATTAGTCCCCCAACTCCAGCATTGTTGCGGAATCTGCAAATTTAAAAGTGCATTAGGTAAGAGCCTTTTTTATAAGAGGCCTGTATTTTTGCTAATACATAAAAACATTGTGATTAGTCAAATAAATGTTCATTTAAAACTCACAGTAGCATGTTGTCTATTTTTTTTTCCTTTTAGAAATGGGGTCTCGCTCTGTCACCCAGGTTGGAGTGCAGTGGTGTGATCATAGCTCACTGCAGCCTCTAATTCCTGGGCTCAAGGGATCCTCCCACCTCAGCCTCCTGAATTGCTTGGATGCCACCATGCCTGGCTGATTCTTTTATTGTAGAGATGGGATCTTGCTGTGTTGCTCATGCTGCTTTCAAACCCCTGGCCTCAAGTGATCCTCCTGCCTCGGCTTCCCAAAGTGCTGGGATGATGGGCATTGAGCCTCCGTGCCCAGCCTATGATTTTTCTTAGCATTAATCTCTGTGTCATTGCAAGCTCTCTCGCATGTCCTTGCCTTCATTCTACATTGTTTTGGTGGAATGGCCCGTACTAGCAGACAAGACCATCCGGTCGACCTTGAGCATCCTTCCCTGTCCTCAGGGAAGGTTTCCTGGGCATCATTTTGTTTTCTTTGTACACCAGCGGGTGCAGCTCATTAGAATGAGCTTGCAGGGGAGCATCTGTGATAGCATCATGATCAGATGAGACATAACTGGCACGGGTCCTGGTTATGGTTGAGGACCTTTATGCTCCTGATTCTACTGGGTGCCTTCTACTGGTGAAGGCTCATGTGCTCATGGAAACACGGGCATGCTGGTGTCTTCTGAGTCCTCTCCAAAAACAAAGCCCAGGTCAGGTACAGTGGCTCACGTTTGTAATCCCAGCACTTTGGGAGGACGAGGCAGGAGGATTGCTTGAGCCCTGGAGTTCAAGACCAGCCTGGGCAACACAGTGAGACCCCGTCTCTAAAAATAATAGTAATAAAAATTAGCCAGGCGTGGTGGCATGCACCTGTAGTCCTAGCTACTTGGGAGGTTGAGGTGGGAGGATTGCTTGAGCCCGGGAAGTTGAGGCTGCATGAGCCATGACTGCACCACTGCACTCCAGCCGGGCAGACAGAATAAGAACCTGTTTCAAAAACAAACAGACCGGGCACGGTGGCTCGCACCTGTAATCCCAGCACTTTTGGAGGCCGAGGCGGGTGGATCACCTGAGGTCAGGAGTTCGAGACCAACCTGGCCAACATGGTGAAACCCCGTCTCTACTAAAAATACAAAAATTAGCTGGGCGTGGTGGTGGGCGCCTGTAATCCCAACTACTTGGGAGGCTGAGGCAGGAGAATCGCTTGCACGCAGGAGGCGGAGGTTTCAGTGAGCTGAGATTGCACCATTGCACTCCAGCCTGGGCAACTAGAGCAAAACTCTGTCTCAAAAACAAACAAACAAAAATCCCAAAGCCCTTAGTTCCAAATCTTGCCTCATTCCCCATCCTCCCCCATCTTTAGGTGAAAGCGTTCTTTCATTATCAGTGCATATCTCTCCAAACTGTATTTATATTTGCGCTGAGATGTTGAATGCACAGACGCACCTCAGTATCTTCTGTTCCTTCTTTCATCCCTACCGCCACCTTCCTTAATTTCTCATTGCTGCGTTTTCTTCCATTAATCAACACCTTTGTAAGGAGAAGAACCTCAGGCAAGCTCCCACAAGCAAGTGCTTCGAAAGACTTCATTTGGGGCTTTTTAAAAGGGCTACTTTTTCCCAGCAGGTTTGGGATGCAGTCTGCTAGTTTATTGTTAATTCTCAGGCTTAATGATAGTTCCAGGTTACTGAATCAGGTGTGATCTCTGAAGATGTGTGTGTTGTAGTTAGTTAGCGCTGCCATAACAAAGTAGCATAGACGGGGTAGATTAAACACTGATTTATTGTTTTATAATTCTCGAAGCTAGAATTTTGAGAAGAACGTGTTAACAGGGCCAGTGCCTCCTGAGCCCTCTCTCATACACTTCTAGACGCCGTCTTCTCTCTGTGTCCTCACGTGGTTGTCCCTCTGTGCATGTCTGTGTCCTCATCTCCTCTTCTTTGGACTCCAGTCCTGTTGGAATTGGGCCCATTCTAGTGACCACATTTTACCTTAATCACCTGTTTATATGCCCTGTCTCCAAATACAGTCACATTCTGAGGTCCTGAGAATTTGGACTTCAACATGTGGATATTGGGAGGACACAGTTCAGCCCATAGCACACTGTTGGCTGGTTTATTATGAGACCGTGATATTTACTCTTCATTCATCCCAAGACAGTGAGAACTTTACCCATGTCCCAGGATACACATATGTTAACCTCTGCTGTTGTCTGAATGCATCCCTTCCAAATTCATATATTGAGACAGTAACCCCCAGAGCTATGGAATTAAAAGGTGGAGCGTTGGGGGAAGCGATTAGATCGTGAGGGTGAAGCCACTGAACGGGACCAGTGCCCTCGGTGAAGGGGTCCGAGGGAGCCTGTTTCCCCATTTTCCCCTGGGTCCGTGGGAGGACACAGTGACAAGGGCCCTTCCCTCAGGAATGAGCCCTTACCACGCAGTTCATCAGCAGGCGCCCTGACCTCGGACGTCCAGCCTTCAGAACTGAGGGGAGTACATTGTTCTTATTTGTAAGGCCCCTTAGTATATGGTGTTTTTGTGATAGCAGCCAGAATGGAGTAAGACAACATCTATGTAACATCTATGGAACTTGTACTTTAATATCCATCTATATGCTTCTCCCAATATCTGATTATACACCTCTTAACATCTACACACGTCTTAGCATCTACCTATACTGATGGATTACACCTTTCTATATGCAGACCTTAGCACCTGTCTATACCCAGAGTCACATCTACACACATGCAGATCCTAACGTCTGTCTGTACGCACGCCTTAGCATCTATCACATATGTTAGCATCTATCTACACCTACATATTAACACCTACCTCCACCCATATCCTAATCTGTCTGCACCCACAGAGCAACACCAGTCTACATCCGCCTCCGCCCATATCCTAACGTCTCTCTATACCTCTGTTAATATCTATCGACGTTCATAGTCTAATATCGGTCTTTATGTGTATATTAACATCTGTCTACACCCATATCCTAGCATCCACCTACACCCATATTATAACATCTGTCTCTTCCTATATGTTAACATCTCCCTACACCCATCTTCCAACATCTATGTCCATATATGAACCTCTGTCTACACCCGTATCCTAACATCCATCTACACCCATACTGTAACATCTATACGTATAGATACCATCTGTCTTCACCTATATTGTAACATTGATCTCTATCCATATTCTAACATCTGCCTACACCCATATCCTAACATCTGTACCTACATATTAACACCTGTCTACACCCGTATTCCAACATTTCTCTAATATCCATGTTGTAATATCTGTGTACATCCATATCCTAACATCTATCTATAACTACATATTAGCATATTTCTACACCTATATGCTAACATATATCTATATCCATATTTAATACCATATGGTAACACTGTTTACACCCATATATCAGCCCCGATGTACACCATATCCTAACATCTGTCTCTAAGCACATCGTAACATCTGTGTGTATGTGCATTTGAACACCTATCTGTACCCATATGTTAGCATCCGTCTTTACCCATGTGCTGATATCTGTGTGCTCCATGTCCCGACATCTGTCCCTGGCTATTGCCATCTGTCTGTACAGACATTTTGGCATCTAGCTGCATCTATACGCCAACACCTAGCTGACATCGTATCGCCGCCCTGCCCTGGCAGGGCCCTGAGCATGTGCTGACACCTAGCTGACGGCGTACCCCCTGCCTTGCCCTGGCAGGGCCCTGAGCGTGTGCTGTCCCCGCAGGTTCTGGACGTGGCATGACGAGCGCTTCCTCTACATGCTCATGGAGTACGTGCCGGGCGGGGAGCTCTTCAGCTACCTGCGCAACCGGGGGCGCTTCTCCAGCACCACGGGGCTCTTCTACTCTGCGGAGATCATCTGTGCCATCGAGTACCTGCACTCCAAGGAGATCGTCTACAGAGACTTGAAGCCGGAGAACATCCTGCTGGATAGGGATGGCCACATCAAGCTCACGGACTTTGGGTTCGCCAAGAAGCTGGTAGACAGGTAAGAGGAACGTGAGCTCAGACGGGATCTACGCTGCTTGGCAATGACAAAGATTGTGGTAGCTGTGGCAGGTCAGGCAGGGGAAGACTGGGAACCAGAGTGTAACTCTCATGTGTGGGAGACACTTGCAGCCAGGGATGAGAGAGCCAGGCTGAGCTGCAGCTCATTTTAAGTGGGCTGCCATTGCTAGCCAAGAGCCGGTGGGCAGGAAGTTGCTCTCCCTCACCCGCACCGTGGAGGAAATCGGAACACCACATTTCCACTGTTGACCCGAAATGATGAGGAAATAAGTCATATCCAAGTTTGAATTGCCCTAACTATAAAATAGATCTGCACCGAATAGGATACAATATCTCTTGAAATTAAATGCCAGGTGCCGTGGCTCACACCTGTAATCCCAGAGCTTTGGGATGCTGAGGTGGAAGAATCATTTGAGCCCAGGAGTTTGAGACCAGTCTGGACAACATAGCGAGACCCTATCTCTACAGAAATATATATATATATAAAAAGTTGATTATGGTGGTGGATCTCTGTAGTCCCAGCTACTTGGGAGACTGATGTTGGAGGATCATTTGAGCCCCGGAAGTTGAGGCTGCAGTGAGCTGTGATCATACCACTGCACTCCAGCCTGGGTGAAAGAGCAAGATCCTGTCTCAAAAAAAACCAAAAAAATCCAAATTGCATATTCCACACACACCTGCTCACACACACACGCACTTACTTTTTTCTGGTATCTATATTTCTATTATGTATATATATATTTCCACTGTATATGTATATTAAATAGAAATATATCTAACACTATATTATTTTATATAACATAGTATATTTTATGTACATATGATATAGTATTATATATGTATAGTATATATTATACTATAATATAGTATACTATGACTATGATAGTATCATATAGGTATACTATATATTATACTATATAATATATAACATTCCTGTGTCATATCATACATATTACTATACTCTATATAGTACATATTGTACATATTGTATATTACACATACTATGTATTATATATAGTATATATTACTATACTATACTATGTATTATACTATATTATATGTTATATAGTATACCTATATCATACTATATCATATGTGTGATATTATATGTGTTTCTTTTCTGGAAACGCACTCACAGACACACCCCGAAACAACGTTTGAACAAACATCTGGGGACCCCACGGCCCAGCAGCACATGAAACGAACCATCACATGTTGTCCCAGCCAGTGTGGGCTGCACTAACATACGCTCATAGACTGGGCAACCTCAACAGCAGACATTCATGGCTCACAGCTCTGGAGGCTGGAAGTCCGAGATCAAGATGCGACAGATTGTGTACCTGGACGGAACCCACTTCCTGGTTCATAGACAGCGCCTTCTTGCTGTGTCCTCACATGGTGGAAGGGGCGAGGGGGCTCTCTGTGTCCTCACATGGTGGAAGGGGCGAGGGGGCTCTCTGGGGCCCCTTTTGTAAGGGCACTCATCCCATTCGTGAGACTCCACCTTCGTGATCTCATCATCTTAATGACCTCTTTAAAGACGCTCTTTCCCATATAGTCACATTCTGAAGTTCTGGGGGTTAGGACTGCAGCATATAAGGTTTAAGGGATACATTTCAGCCTGGAACAATTATATATAGGTATGTTTCCACACACACATACTCCATTGAGGAGAAAACAGTTATCCTGTTTTGTTTGTTTGTTTGTTTGTTTTTGAGACGGAGTCCCACTCTGTCGCCCAGGCTGGAGTGCAGTGGCGCGATCTCCGCTCACTGCAAGCTCCGCCTTCCGGATTTACGCCATTCTCCTGCCTCAGCCTCCCGAGTAGCTGGGACTACAGGCGCCCGCCACAACGCCCGGCTAACTTTTTGTCTTTTTACTAGAGATGGGGTTTCACCGTGTTAGCCAGGATGGCCTCGATCTCCTGACCTTGTGATCTGCCCGCCTTGGCCTCCCAAAGTGTTGGGATTACAGGGGTGAGCCACCACACCCGGCCCCAGAATGTAGTCTTTTATCTCTCACGCACCTCCCACCCTTTCCCCCAAGTCCTTAAAGTCCATTGTATGGTTCTCATGCCTCGGCGGCCTCATAGCTTAGTTCCCAATGGATGTTTAATTTACATTTATAAAATCAACAGTCATAAAAAGTAAATTCACATGCCCAAGCTGCTGAAAAATCCTCAGAAAGATTGTTGGTAACTCCACTGAGTGTCGGTTTTTCAATTAGATTAAATTAATTAAGGTAGAATTAGATAATGACATCAGTTCCTCGGTAGACAAGCTACATTTCAAATACCCAGGATGGCACATGGCTATCGGCTTCTGTCTTGGTCAGGCAAGCCTAGAAAATACATCTTATATTTCCATATTCTTTGATGTGGTGGGGTTGGGTAAGGTGATAATTACACTAATTATACTCTTAACATTGTAAAACTGCGTTTTTGAGAAACTTGGTGTGGGGGCAGTTTTACACTAAATGACTCTCTCCTCTGGCGGCTTTTAGAAAAGGGCTCTCCTAGGGAAATTTTATGATGCATTTAAATTCAATCTGATTTCCCCCTGTGGTATTTCTTGTATTACATTTCCAAAAATAAGACGCATGGAAATTAGGTGCATTTTACATGGAATAGGAAAGACAGGATTTTTAAAAATACTGATTTACAGCATCCGTGCTGCCCTCTCTTGGCAGCACACGGTATATTAGTAAATTCGTTTAAAGTCATTTGCAAGTCTAATTCAAACAAACCAGAGATAAAATATTTCATATATTCACTTGTTTATAAGTTTGACAAACCATGTTACTGTCCAGTTAATTCATGATGTCTATTTAAATGGACGAAGATAGTTTAGTATATAACATGCAGCGATTATTGTACTTAATGAACATGTGAAAATCGTAGAAAATGCCTCATTACCATCATGATAGATTGCTTTTGCAAAGAACTGCATCTTCCTCTGTATGGGTAGTGTAGCTTCTGGAAACTTTTTTTTTTGTGGGTACTCTTTTCTCCTTGTTTTTTTTGACCCTCTTTGTAACGAAGCATCTCTCTTCTAGCCCAACTCCAGGGAAATTGTGTGCATGGGGGCAGGTACATGGCCCTGCCTCTGATTCAGGATTCAAACAGTACATGTGCCTTTTGAATAAAACTTAAATTCACCACTATATCGTAGACCACTACAGAATAGATGGAACTAAACAGGGAGGCCTCATCTTGAATAACCTTTTTTTTTTTTTAAGACAGGGTCTTACTCTGTCACCCAGGCTGGAGTGCAGTGGTGGGATCTTGGCTCATGCAACCTCAGCCTCCTGGGCTCAAGCGATCCTCCCATTTCAGCCTCCCAAGTAGCTGGGATTACAGGCATGTACCACCACGCCTGGCTAATTTTTGTATTTTTAGTAGAGACCTGGTTGCACCACGTTGCCCAGGCTGGTCTTGGTCAGCTGGCCTCAAGTATCCACCTGCCTCGACCTTCCAAAGCATTGGGATTACAGGCATGAACCACCACGCCCAGCCTTGAATAACATTTTTGAACATATCCCAGAAAGAAGTACGTTTCTCATTGTTCTCTTATAGCATGGGGTAAAAACATACTTAAGCATGTTGTAATGTATTCTATTCACGATATGAATTTCTTTCTTTGTTTTTTGTTTCTTTTTTGAGACAAGGTCTCACTGTGTCTCCCAGGCTGGAGTGCAGTAGTGCGACCATGGCTCACCACAGCCTCGAACTCCCCGGCTCAAGCATTCCTCCTGTCTCTCAGCCTCCCAAGTAGCTGAGACTACAGGCTTGCATCACCATGCCTGGCTAATTTTTTGATTTTTTGTAGAGACAGGGTTTCACTATGTTACCAGGGCCGGTCTTGAACTCCTAAGCTGAAGCAATCCTCCAACCTTGGCCTCCCAAAGTTTTGGGATTACAGGCGGGAGCTATGGTACTCAGCCTCTCCCTCCCTTCCTTCCTTTCTCCCTCCCTCCCTTCCTTCCTCCCTTCCTCTCCCTCCCCTCCCATTCCCTCCAGTT